TTGAACATGGACAGCATTACTCTTGGACGGGGATGTAGCGAAAAAAAATGATAACCAGTTTCGTGAGTGGAGACTTTTGCGAGGCAGCTTAGTATCATACAAGTAAGATGAGACATGTTTCACGAACACATCTGCCGAGGCTGTACTACGGTTGCATCAAGCATACAAATATGCATATCATACGCCGGCACACAAATCCATCAACTTTTGCCAGCCACATTGAAAGCCACGCTAATATCCGTGAACCTGACCAGTGTTTTTTGGCCCCCCCCCGCAATTTTACCCACCAGGTTGGTATTAACATCAGGGCGGTCCAATAACCTCCTCACGACATCATCATGCTAAAATGGAAGCAACTACTCGAGTAGCATCGTAGCCATTGGGGTGTTCGAGCCCAACTGCCTGCTAGATTTAGACCAACATCAGCGCGATCCCGATTCTGAGGTAAATACCTCCCATATCGTTTCCCGTCCGCCCCCGGCAGGCTGGTAAAAAGGAATCTGGCCAAAACCATCCACCAACCCCAGCTCGATGTTACTGTTGCCCGACAGTACAGTGCCTTTTCGAAAATCACCCAAAGCTTCCAGGAGGAGCGTCCTTCGGCCCTCCATATCCTCCGAGTTGAGGCCAGCATCCGGGTAAGCACAGGAGGAGTCTCACCATCTCTCTATCCCCTCCGCAAAACAGCCCAGGGGAGCGATTTTATACGATTGCTATCCACAATGTCAGGTTTCCCATTATTCGAGCAATAACTTTACGATATCCACCACTCCGGAAATAGTGGCATGAGGGCCGAGTTTGGGTAGACGTCTCCCTGATTGGGTAGTCACCTGACCATTTCACTATTTTTACATGCGCCAGCCCAAGTACCGGTAAGCAGAGTATGGCCCATAGGGCTGTGACCATCTTGACTAAACCTTTCCTTAGACATTATCCTTGCCGCGATCTCAGTAGCACCAGGAGGCGCGATGAAGTGTACCTATTCCCGCGTATCTCCTAGAAGCTCTCACCTCAAGCCCCTCTGCAGACCCCAGCGCGATCAAAGAAACGCAGACAAGACATCCAGATTCCTCAAGTAACTGGATCCTGAGCACGCTCACCGACGGTGCGGCCCCTCTGTAAAGACGATCTCCCCAGTGAACTCAGGCATAATATTATTTAGAAATCTAAATGGCGGGGAGGGGGGATGTAATTTGTATTAGTGGGAGATTGTTCACCAACCGAAAATAATAAAAGTAAAAATAAAATAAAAGGGCCAATTGGATCTCCGCGATCACCTCACAAAGGGCTATCAAACAACCAATTGACAATATCCTTTTTACACTTCTCCAGGGAAGCTTAAACATGTACAGTACCAGCCGAGCCATCGATTTCTCCCGAAAAGTGCTTGGATTGAGGGAATATTTCCAGAGCCCGTATCTATGCTCCCGGGTTCTACCGACAATTCGTGACACAGCCCATCAGCATCTGTATGCCTCTCGACCAGAGCAATGTACAGCATTTACCGCAACTCCGAGAATCGAATTTATTCTCGCGCCGCCCACCAGTCCCACCCAGCGCCCCACTATACGCAGCTGTGAGGTGCTTGGCCAGCCGGAATAAATTCCACCCTTCCCAGAGACTGTTTCTCCCCATAACGCCTCATCGATCTGCAGGGGCCGGAGGAGAAAGCCTTGAACTTTCTGACAGCTACGCAGAACATAAGAGCGACCTGGCGCACCACTCTCACACGCCGTGAAAGTAGTCAGGAATATATTACGATCCATCGCCTCAAGATCCGTATCAGTTTGTAAATAGCTTCAGCGATAGACACCCTTGTTGGACCGGATATCGATAACACGCAGTATGCCCCGTGAGGTTTGTCTCAAACTCCGCTTGTATCTAGGTCTTTCCTTCCAAATAACCTTCTACCGCTCATCCCCCAATACCACAGCCCAGCCAAGAAACCCGCCCAACCCATCAATGCACAAACGCTCTTCGGAAGCACCCGATATCCACAGGAAACTCCTCGAGCATCCGAATCCCAAAAATCTCTCCTTAACCTCTCTCGGAACCTCCAGGAGTACCCTTATAAGCTTCTCCAAGAGACCGCCGATCATAGCCGTAGTGCCCGCTCTCTCCGGCCCCCGTAGTTACGGCATAGGCCCCGCAACACCGACATCCGATCCAGCGGCCTCATCGCGGACCATCAATCACAAGGTGGACAAAGCCCACGAGAAAGGCGTGGGACTGCCGGATAAACTCCTTGCCAGCCAGGAACCTCACACAGCAAAATATTGGTCCATCGTTCTTCACACCCCGCCGCTATTGGTATTGTCGCCGGTATTCCCTCCAACCCCGGCGCACGTTAATTCCCCCGCGAGAGCATGCGGAAGGAAAGATTCTAGCCAGAAATGGTTCCCCAAGAGTTGACGCTACACTAGAGGCGTTCCCGTCGGCGACAATAAGCGCTAGCGAACGATAGCAGTCGAGGAGCGAGGACGGGGGCACGCGGCCAAACGCACGACAAAAATATAGGCCTACCCGCACAATAAGCGAGCGCTCACACCCGAACTACAGCAGACCGATCCCCCCCCCCCTAATTCTTATGCCCCACGTTAGCACGTCCGGACAACCCATGCTAGAGTAGACGAGTTTTGTCGCAATGCTCTCTCAGAGGGTACAAATCTACCATGATTAATATACTCTACTTCCAACCTCGCAGACCCCTCTCATTCGCACAGGGCCGACTTGAAAGAGACCCTTTAATCCCCCCAACATCCCTCCCCGCGCACGTTCAGACTCTCCCATCGTTCCCCCAGCCTCCTCGAATAATTTGTTCAAATCAGATTGTATCCACCGAGTGATATCTCATGATGCCAATCCACACACATAACGACAAACCTGACCTCCGGACGAAGAGGGGGATAGAAAGGCCCCGGCACCACCCCCTTCATCAAGGGAAGCAACAGACTGGCACGCTATGATACCCCGGATTGTCCTTCGGGAAGAGGTGGTCAAGGCGGAACCCCCATTACCCAACCGGCTATTTGTTCGCGCTAGGTTATCATCAAGTCAGAAGGTCTTCCCGGACACCTTCCCACCGTTGATTAAGCTTGTTGGATACTGGGTTGTGTATATAGCAGCAGAAAGTCGGTCGGCTTTGCCCGTTCGGTTGTGGGCTGTGGGGTAGGGGTTCGGGCTAGGTCTATTGCGGGGATCTGTTAGGATTGAAAGCACTTGCATCGTGCGAGCAGCGAATCGATCAACGCGTTAATGCCAAGTTCTCCTATATTCCATAAAATATTCGCCAATCGACTTGTACAAAAAGATACCCATAGTAATAGTGAGCGGTGCGTGAGCCCATCTATCTGTGAGGAACGAGAGAGCGGGAGGGTGGAAGGGAGATAATTCCTCACGACAGATCATCCGCTCTATGAGAGGTAAGCTCTCGGCATTCGGTCTTTCTATGATATATACACATGCGCCCAGAGATATGAAATGCGCGGTTTGTATTACTCTGCTAGATTTCTGCAAGTTCCCCTCCGCCCCGGCATGTATTTCTGCGATGCGGAGGTAGTCGGGTTGACAGGGGTTACAACTCAGGTATCGCAACCACCCCTCCAATGACGATATATCATATTATTATGATACAAATACCACAATTAGATCCAGATTGCCAATAATATGGTAAGTACGAGTTAGCATAAACACCTCTCCTCAAACACCAACTTTTCTTCTAATAATAATAAAAAATCCGCCTCAATCGATACATCATACCCCCGACCAACCCCAGCACCAAAAACCCCAATAAAAATGATAAATAACCCATACCTCATCTACCGTCAAAATTGCAATCACAATCCCTCACTCGCTCGCCCATCGGCACCCAATGCCAAGACAATGCAAGTAAATGACGTAACGTGCACAGACCACAAACCATCCCTCATCCGTGAATCAAAAAATAAATCCCCATCCTACCACACCCTCGCACAAAACACACCCGTCCCGAAAACTTGCTGACAAGCTAGCTAACCCCTGTTCAAAACCCACAGTAATAACTTGGGGTTAACTTATCGGTAATCTTCCGGTCCGTCCAACGGCCGTAGTAACATTTTGTTTTTGTTTTTGTTGTTTGTTTCTGTGTTTGTAAAACATGATGGCCAAGAGGAAGCGCTCCTATTTGTAGTCCAATTAATTTGCAATCGAACCGTCCATTTCCTTTTCCCCCATCCAGCCTTCGCCTGCTGTAGTCGTGTTCGCGCTGGTGGACGTGTAGTTATCATACCGGTATCATAGAACCAAACCGGTTTCCTCAGAACGAGCAAAGAATCTGACAGAACGACGACAACGAATCAAGCAGACGATGCCACTTCCGTGCCGAAGAGACAAGTCCCTTTTTTCCCCAATTCGGTGTTGCTAGCCCACAAAATGATGTAGAGAGAAAAGCAGAATTTTCGCTGAGAGTGAAACTAGTATGATACTCGTGCTATACAAGTACTGTGCTCAGATATTCTCAAGGTGGGATAGTTGTTCGCTCGGCGACTCCAGCTTGTCTGGGTGGCTGTAACTCAAGTGGATGCCTGCCCTTGATATCAGAAGAACTGAACCTCACACTAAAAGACGCCCAGGATTCCCCTCTTCAGGTAAAGGGGGGAATCACCCGGAAAGAAATTGACTTCCAAACCTCCGCTAAGACATCATATAAAAAAGAAAGACACAACAGACCTTACCAGGAGAGGTAGCTCCAACGCCCTAATGCGAGGTTCAATTATTCCAGTTCTTACGGTACTATCGGCCAAGCAGGCAAATAAGTTGTTTTGGTTTTGTTTTTAGTAAGGGAAAAGAGCTTTAACAGTGGGTTAGGATGACTCCCAAGTTACCCTTCAATTTTTAACCTTGCCTACATGCCTGCCTTTCCGTCGGAGGAAGGGAGTGGCTTGCTAGCAGAAGCAAGCAGGCAAGAGCGCAAAACTACAAGAGAACCATACCGCCACCTCACAAACCAATTGCAAACGAAATGGGTTGCAAAAGCAAAATATAAATAAAGAATAAAAAATGACTAAATAGATGGACTCTGGCTACAAAAAATTGCTGAGGAATCGAATTGGAATGAGTTGAATTGAATTTTTGAAGAAAGAGAAAAGTGGAAAGAAAGGTTTTTGTTGTTGCAGAGGAAGAGGAAATGAGGAAATGATAAAAACCAACCCACCCATCCCAGCCGATACGATAGAGAAGAGAGAGAGAAAGCAAAAGATGGTAAGAACAGGAAGGTGAAAGAAAGGATAAGACAAACCCATACCGAGACAGAATAGGAGAAGGAAACCTTTTTTTTTGGCGATTCGAGGAAACAAAGGTAAAAAGGAGTTAAAGTTAACATATGGATAACAGCCGACCAGCAAACAGGAGACAGACAGGTAGAAAGGTAGGTAGCGAGGGGGTCCTTTTTTCGGGAGAGAGTGTGTGAGTGAACTGAAGCTGATCGAGCAAAATGGACAGGTGGATAGATAGACAGGGTGTGGGTTAAGTGTATAAAGGAGCCTCTTGATTTCTTCCCATAACGACAGCCAACCATCATCTCCTAGGCTGCCATGATACGAGGCAAGAGTAGTGAGTGAGTGATGGGAGATCAAACCCTCTTTCTCTTCCCCTTAGCCTTATTCTTATTCAATCCCGCCAGACCACCTCCCGCAGCCTTCTTCGCCGCAGCCGCTGCAGCCTGCCGACCTCTCCGCGTCCCAGCCTCGTCCTCCGATATACACTCGCCGGCGGGGATACCGGCATCCTTGCACCGCTGGCACGGGCGCTGTCGGTCACAACCCTTCTTACTCTTCCTGCACCTCTGGCACCGGGGCTTGACAATCGGCTCTTCAACCCCCAGCTTGTTATTATTGTCGTTGTGGAAGTACTGCGTGTGCAGCTTGTTCTCATCCACGGGTGTTGCCGTCTGCTGACCGAGCAGGACCATTGGTGTGTGGACGTTTGCCACTGGGTTGGTGCTAGTCATGATGTTTGAGCGCGCTTTGCTGCTTGCTACGGATGCCACGGATGGCTTCCGACTGGCCGGTGGTGAGGCTGGAGAGATAGGCCAGTGGTGTTCCGACCGTGGCTTCGGCTTCGACTTTGGCTTGCTTGATAGCGTTGGCTGCTGTCGTTTGACCGCTTTCACCGTGCCCTTGGGATATTGTGGGAGCGGCGCCGGCAGTGGCAATGGCTTGGTTTTTACCACAGCACCTAACGCGGTTGAGGGTATGGCAGACGGGGCCGAGGATGTTTTCCTCCCGCGTAATGTCTTCAGCGGAATGTCATCCAAATCCTCTTCATCGTAGTCTCCATCGTCATCCTCCTCTTCTTCCTTGCCGACATAGGTCTCGTCAGCCTCATCATCGAAATGATCTTCGCAATCTTCATCATCAGTCACAGCACGATGGGCCTCGTGAAAATATGGCTCATGTTTAACCCGCTGCTGTGCTTGTATCTCTTTTGGCTGTTGGTATTGTGGAGGTGGTGGTGGTGGTGGATTTTGCTGCTGCTGCTGTTGTTGCGGTGGCAGAGAGGGTGGTGGGGGCGGTGGAGCAGATTCCTGCTGCGGTGGAGCCCGTGTTTCCATAGGGGGCAAACACTCATCTTCGCTTGGTACGGTGGAATCAAAACTGGGCAATATCTCATCCAAACTTTTGTACTTTTTGTGATTCCTCGGGTAGATGATGGGACTGCCTGGCCCCTCGTCAGGACCCCCAGGAGGCATATCGGGCAATTCAGCCGTATCACTTCTTCCATCATCGCCAAATTCACCACACTCTGATGAAAAGCTATCTTCCTCACGTGCGGTCTCATCAAGGGTAGATATAGTCGCCGAACCACTCGGTAGTTCCCCTAAGCGCATCAGTTGTAGCGCAACGTCTTCATCTGAAATGCAAGATGCGACGGTAGGAGCGGGTGTAGGAATGGTGGACCCATTGGTCCGAGCCTGCCCAAAAGCGCCTGCAGGTTGGCCACCATTTGAAACACTGAACCCATATGTGGATGGCGGTGTGGGGTGTGGATAGCTGATATTTCGATTACCATAAGGAGTGGTCACTTGGGGTGCAGGGTGCGAAGGACTGGCTGATGACGATGTGGAACCGTCTTGTCTAGGAAGGGCCGGAGGCGGGAACAGTGGCAGTTCCTGGAAAAAAGGAATCCTAAGGTTAACACAGATCAAACGCAAATGGAGACCAAGAGGATCATTTACATCAGACGAGAATTTTGGTCGTTTCCTCCTTGAACCCTCAACAATATTGTCCAAACTGATATCTGCACTTGCCACCGGTTCAATCCTGCTTCGCGATTCCGATTCCTCATCTTCCTCTGGCAAGAACTGTTGGGGGGGCTGTTGTAGATAATATCCTTGTGGGAAGCGCTCATCATAATGCTCCTCTTCCCCTCGGTGAGATGCTTGGCGCTTCATTCCCCTGGGGCGCCCACCCGCACTGGCGCTTCTCCTCCCTCGTGCAGCGCTAGGGGATACGCTCCTTCCACCAGAGAAGGAGCCTCGTGGCCCAGGTCCAGTATAAGACATGATCTGTGGGTGTCGGAGATTATACTGTGGATATGAGGCAGGATTCTCTTCGACCCTTATATCGACCGTCATATCATCGCTAAAGTTCTCATGCCTCAGGATCATATATCTCCCCTCCGGGTCTTGAAATGACAAGCCACATTCGTCTTGTAGTTTTATGCCAAACATATTCTTGACAGTGGTTGTAATGGAATCCGTAGTATCATGTGGATAGATGTGAAGAGTCTTCGGCTCCGAGTTGCAGAACCTGAAGTGAACATTCTTGCACTCAGTGCTCGGCGAAAGCGACTGTGGCGTCATTATTGAGCCGTTATTGTGATAAGGCGTTGATGTCGCCGAGTATTCGTATGTACGGTTATTCATATTTGTTGGAGCAGCCTCTGACAAAAGAGCATTGACATTCATTGCGTTCCGTTGAATCCGAGAGGCTCACAGCGGCAAGGTGAGAGGCCGAAATGGACTCGTAGGGCCGCCCAGATAGTAGCGAACCTGAAAGTGTTGGGTAGATAGGAGAATCAATGAAGCGATGTCTATAGATGGTCCGGGTGCAAACAGTCAGTATATAAATGAACGAATGAGCGGACAGAACTATTTGTGGTGCATAAAAGAAAAACATTTTAAATGTGGGGACGGGGGGGGGGGGAATAGCCACAAGTGGAGAAAAAGCGATCCACAACTTGCTGATTTTCAACACCGTTTGAACCGCCAAATGTGCCAGCGACTGACGAACACATCGGCGAAAGCACTGAATAGACGATGATGCCAAACGAGAGATGGGACAAGATGGGACAAGTGATGATAAGGGCAAAGCAGATTCGGGGTGCGGTATACAGACCTTTTTTTTTTCGATCCCAGCCACAGAGATGCGCTCGGCGCTCGAAGTGCAGAGGTCAGAGCTGTTAAAATGATGGTTTGGTCCGGAGCGCAGAGCTGGAGCGAATGTATCCCAGAGCCAGAAGCGTAATGAATCCGATGTTTGGCCAGGCAGTGGGGTTAGGGAGTGATGGGATGGGGGGGCTGGAAGAGCGGGGTGATGGTAGCGCTCAAGTAGTGAGAAATGAAAGATGGAAGCCAAGGGTAGTAGGAGGGTTATAAGAAGTAGTGTGATGTCGTTAGTGACGATAGGACAGTCCAGACAGCAGGCGAAAGAACGGGGCAAGCTTTCAGCAGTCCGCTGCGCACAGGAGAAAAGCAAAGGCGAGAAGAGGAAGGAGATGGATTCTAGTGAAATTTTGAAGAGAAGAGCGGAATAGATGAATCGTTGTCGGATTGCACCGGTGGGGAAGCGATTGAAAGGGTGAGAGAGGAGAGAGAGGGTTGGGGTGAGGGCAAGAGAGTGTGTGGGTGGGTGGGCGGGTGTGTGTATGTGGGTGGTGTGTGTGTAGTGGGTGCGAGAGGATGAGTTGCTGGACAGAAATCCGGAGGGGGGACGACAACGGCAACGACAACGAGCAGACAAATAAATTTATAGGTTCGAAAGAACGAAGCGAATGCAATAGAGTCGACTGGCGGAGAGAACAGGAACGTACAGTACAAACAGTAAGGGTAGAGTACCGGTACGGCAGTGTATGTAGTGAAGAGTAGAGTGTTTTGGGGAGGGGGGGAGTTCAGACGGCAAAGGACTATAATAGCTAAACTAGAACAATCCGCGACGAAGGCAAGCTGGCCAAGAAACGAAAGGTGAATACAGGAAGGCGACTATATCTTCAAAATCAAGGTATGAAATGGCACACAGTGATCAGGAACGAAGTTTGAGAAGGGGCGACCACGAAATAAGCGGGTATTAGAGGAGTGGGAGTTGAATCAACACGGACGGACAACTGGGAGGAGGAAGGAGAGCTACAAGTACGGTAGATAGGCGACGGTAGGAGCGTGTAAGGAAGGGTCTGGTTTTCGAGGTAAGATAGTATGAGTAGAGCGTGTAAGTACGAAGTGTACGAATGGAATAATGCTATGTATGTAGCATGCAGCTTGTCAAGCAAGTAGCAACAGAAGAAGCAGTACCACCAGGAACCGAGCAGAAGCAGAGAAGAGCGTCCTGTGTCAGTTGAAGCTGCGGTGGTGAATGGTGGTGGTGGTCCTCCTGGTGCGAGAAGGGGTGGAGATAATGGTCGTAGTGGTTGGCTTGAGGAGGAAGCGCACACCATCCATCGCCCGGTATGTCTGGATCTGGGTCTGCTCTGTGTCTGTGATAGATATCACGGCAAGTATTCTACTGTACGAGTATGATATCTCCCCGCAAACGTGGAAAAGTGGCCATGATATCCCATCTCCAACGGCGACAGTGGACCGGGCTTGTCGCAGTTTCCACAATATCCATATGGCTATGTACAGTACTGTCCTATGCAAGCTAAAGAGCCCAGTTTCCCTTCTCCCCTCACATATACATTCTCACTCTCCTCACGGTTCCTCGTCACGGCACCGGTATCTCTATGGATAGGATGGTCCCTCTTCGTCCTCGCCAACCCTTTCCCTTGAAGCAAGGAAAGTCAAGGGTGTGTGTGTGTGTGCGAGGGTCGAAGGATTTACATCCAACAACGCAGACATTTCGCCCATCGGCGCTGGGAACTACTGTACTAGTACGAGTACTTTCCCAATGATTCCCCCCAAGACCTTTCGGCGCTCCGACTCCCATAGGGGAGGGAGGGAACGTGCGAACCGTTCAAAGCTAGAAAGAAAGGAGCTACAGCGCAGGAAGGAAGTGTACGAGTATTCCACCGAACATTACCGGTACCGGTATGGTACAGTACAAGTAATGCCGCCACTGCTCGACCCATACAACACCACACGATCCAAAGTAAGACCCCCCCCCAAATGCTCACCCTGTATCTCTCTCGTTCGCTTGACCTGGAACTCTTCCCTCTTCCCTCTCCTCCATACAATCCCAGTAAAACGCCCCCAGTGCGCGAGTGCGCGAACCACCTCCACAAAAAGCTTGCACTCCTCGCATGGGGGAAAAGAAAAGAAAAGCACGAGAGGAGGGAAAAATTTATTGAAAATTGTAAATTTAGAATGGAGTCTCGCGATCAAGATATTTTTATGCATTTCCATACTTTATTTTCAAGGCGCGAATTTACGAGCGCACAGTATACGAGCACCATAGTATCATACCGGTACTGTACTGTACTTGTATGATACGATACCGCTACTGTTACAAACGCACAGCACCCCACGGCCGCCTTAGGTCCATGTACCTCAACTGTATGCACAATCCTCCGCTCCCAAAGTGACCTCTACACCCGGATTGTGGATCGCCAACCTTCATTACCTTTAACCATTGGCGCACCGCGAAACAGCAGTCTCGCTACGAATCTTTAGCCGCAAAGGGGAGTGCCACACTCTCTCTTGCGCTCGCGATCCGCCCAAAAAAGTCAATCTGCCCCCTTCCTTTTCTCTTTTTTCTTGAATGGAGGAGCACGGTAAATGGAATGGGTTGGTGAAGAAGGAGAGGGAAAGAGAAGGAAAGAGGGAAAGGAAAGGGTTGAGAGAGAGGAAACAGGAAACAGGAAACAGGAAACAGGAAACAGGAAACAACGCCTCTGTGGACACTGGCCACCAGGACCGGTATTCTTCTATTGACAGACTTGATAAGGAGCGCGCATAACATAATATCACAGCAGAAAAGGAAAAAAAAAAAAATTCTAATATCACTTTTCTCTTTGCATTTTTTATTGATCGCTTATGTAGATCGAGCGATTCGTCAATCCCCAAACTCATCAGCAAGATGCCGATAACGCATCCGTCGGAATGAAATGCCAATTAGACTATCATCAGCGCAAACTTCAACCCACGCTGAAGAGAGGGGGTGAATGCTAGCTCCTGTAAAGAGATAGGCAAGAGATAACTCCTAACTTGGAATGAAAGGATGGTCATATTCTTAATCGTGTTCGATAGACAAACCGCGACGAGTATTCCTTCACGAAGCGCCTGATTAGAGGTGAAAGGGAAGGAAGAAGAAGAAAAGAAGAAAAGATCGAGGGCCAAGGAAAAAACTGGGCGCTGGAACGTTCCTATCTTCCTCCCACGTGACTTCGTGTATAGTGGTTCCTCAAAACGCGTCGCAAATTGGTTGGGGAAAATGACCGGGAGACGCGACGGCTGGGCGAACTTACCTGGATAAGGGATGGTGTGCCAACGGCTGGCCTTGGCGACACTTCACTCCCGACATGGGTAGTCCGGGAGGGAAACAAATTAGATGTATGTAAATTACCGAAATACATGCAGTAATGATTAAACAAAGATCGTGTGGATATTGGAACTGCAGGGAACAGCAAATAGTATTTATTTTACAAGTAGCACTTGTATGCTCTGGCTACTGTGCTGTGCTAGTACAGTAATTAACGCCGCTCCCCGTTGACTTTAGGTGCTCCGGGCGTAGGATCTTCGTCAAGTGCCATAAATAGCGGTCGAAAGGAACTGCTCTGGAAAAGAAGGGAGAGGATACCGTACTCCACTCCCTCGCGCGAAATGTTCAGTGTCTGAATTTGGATCGCCTCTCTCTCTCGCTCCTTCTCCCTTCGCCCAAGAAAGCCTGGCGGCTGTGCCTACGGGAACCGCCGAAATTAGGAGAAGGCGGAGTGAGCGAGTTGTGCCGGATGGCGGAAACGAATCTCTCGCTGGCCGCTGGATTGATGGGCTTTGTTTCGAGGAGAGAGCCGTGATGCGTTGAAACAGTAATGTATTCACTGCTCCCTACAGCACTACCGGTGCACCGCCCTCTCTCTCTAACTAAACCTTCCCACCCATAATCACCCTTTTAATCGTTTCTCAGATAAATATCACCATGCTCCCCTCATCTAACCCGATTATAGAACTCGCACCATAACTCTTGGGAATCGCGAAAACCGACAACCAACGATGTATTGCATAAAACATCCAGCGCCGGCACCCCGCACCACGAACGTGGAATCCAGTTACAAGTACTCGTACTCCTACAGTTACACCCGGTGCCGTATGCCAAAAAAAAAAAGATTTCCTCGGGAATGGCGCCACCAAAGCGAGGATAGGACAAGAGAGAAAAGGGCCCCCCCGCAAACAGAAATACACAGTCCAGGTTTCGCGACAGGTTCGCGACAGGACACCATAAGACAAGGTCTCGACTCATCTGCTCCGAGGGCTGAACCGAATTGGATTACATACTCATACTCGAGTACTCGTACACACTCACAGGAAATGTATGAAATGCATGGTTTGAGCACAACCTCCCGTATTACACGGGTTCGCACGCACGGACTCCAAAGCAGTCTTACCTGTACAGTGAATGACCATTCCTAATTTGGGGGGCTATTGTTCGTTGCGGCAGGTATCTTACTTTTCTTTCCCGTTTGGAAGTGGGAAATACATTGAATTGAAAACCGCAAAGGTGAGAGAAAATGTGCGAGCACTCGCACAAGTCAGTGCTGGCAGCGGCGAAGGGGATGCAAGGTAGAATACCAGGTGGGTTTAACTTGGTTTTCTCAAGACGCAGGCCCTACCGCATTGTGCTTCAATCATACACTTAGCACCGGCAGCGCAGTTGCCGAACGCCAGGCCACCAAAGGAAAGGGCGAAGAAACAAATAAATAATAACACCGGTATGGTGGAAAACTGAGTGCGTGAGAAGCGTCCGATAACTATGTGATCTCTGTTCCAAGCTTTTTTTTGTCACCACAGCGCCGGGGAGACCATGAAGGGAATGTGCAATGTGCGTTTTCGATTGGGTAACGGCTTCTGGTTGGAAATTGTTCGTGATGGGGTGTGTACGATACAGAGCGGTGTTGGTGATTCCTGCCCTTTGGTTCTTTGATGTATCATAGCCATAATTGGTTCGCGAATTTATCGAGTGATGCGACATGAAGACCCAAATCCTGCGTAAGTGCGCGCGCCGCTCCATTGTGGGTTGGGGTGGGGTTTGTCACCCGTTTGCTTGTTGCCATTGGCCTCAAAGTGGGAATGGTTGCTGCCAAGCCATTGGTTGCCTTCCCTGAAACGGCTTGTTTCGTTGCCTCGACAACCAAGCATTACGCGAAGAGACCTCGACCGACTCAAGACGCCAAAACATCAACTTCCTTCTCCACTTCCTCCACCACTCTGCTTCCCTCTTTCCTTCATTCACAACAATCCTCCTTCTCCTCTTTTCCTTTTCATTTTGACCTCTCTCTCTCTCTCTCTTTCAAATACATTTAAGCGGACAGTGGATTCCTCCGACTTCAAGTGATTTCTTCCTTTGCTACTTTTTGCCCACCAACCGTCGCTACTTTCCGCTAAACTCTCAAAGGTAGTTTATCAACTTGATATATTAATCGAATCAACGGTCTATTGATCGAATTTCGACATTGATATTATTCTCGCCAACTTGGATAGAAAAATGGATGCCAAAGTAAGTAAAATTTTCTTTTCATCGTACCTGCTACGGTATGTTCTGTATGGTTGTATTTCCAACCTGAAACGCACATTCATCCCCACAACCCAAGCCCCCATAGGAAAACTTGCATAACCACCCCTCTCTCCCCTCTCTCCCTCTCAGATGCATCCACCCACTCGCATCCAATAACACACATCCACAACTCGATCTGGGGGAAAAAATATTTTTTCTTGCTAACGCAACGCGTTTTTTTTCCTGCCTATAGCCACAACGTCCCTCTCGCGCTATTCGCCGTCAAGACGAGAACGCAAACCGTCCTATAATCCACAACAAGTCCGCCAACAACGTCTCTTCAGCCGCTGCCAACGCTGCTTTGGGGAACATGGAATCGCAGCAATCCACTGGAGTCGGCCTCAGAGCCGCTGCCCGCAGGACCGCGTTCGGCGATGTCAGCAACACAGGCAAGGGTAACAATGTTACTACCTCAGGCAAGGAAAGTAGCAAGGGTGGTGTCACTGTCGTTCAGGATAAGCAAGGTCAGAAGGCCACTGGCGCGATCTCGAAACCAGCTCAGCGAGTCCAGGGACTCAAGCCAGCTTCTTCGATCGCTTCCCAGTCTTCGGTCACGTCTCAACACGTTGCTCCATCGAGGAACATTGTCCGAAAGACCACAGTTTACCAAGATAACAAGCGCCCGAGCCCGAAGAGGACTAGTCCCAAGCGAACCAGTCCAAAGGTTTCGCGAGATGCGGTCGTTAAGAAGGAATCGCAGCAGTTCGGTAGACAAGCTACTCGGCCCCGTAGCAAGGGTCGTGCGTCTAGGCCTCTGTCGGGTCTTTTGAGAATAAAGCAACATCAAGCTAAGGGTGAATCTCCAGTCTATTCGGACCAAGCATCTCAATCCTACTCTGATAGATACTTGGATGAGGATCAAGAGAGCACCGCAGCTGAAGCTGAAGATGATGATGACGAAGACGCTTCGGAGGATGATGAGGCTCCGGGCGGTGCTAAGGCTATTAAGGGTCAACATGAGGTTATCTCAGACTATGAGAGCGATGAAGGAGATGATGATGAGACTGAGTACAACAGCGCAAGAGCGCGTGCCGGAGATAATACTACTGGGGTTACCACGCAAGTTCTTGTGCCAAAGATCACGTCTCAGACCCGGAAGGAATTGAGCAAGGTACAGCGGGAGTTCTTTGACGACGAGGACGAGGGTGATATTTCTATGGTTGCGGAATATGGCGATGAAATCTTCGAGTATATGCGTGAGCTTGAGGTTAGTACTATGTTACACCATTATTAATTGCGCTAGAGTTTTGCTAACAATTTATACCGTGATATAGGCGAAGATGTTGCCGAACGCACATTACATGGATCATCAATCCGAGATCCAATGGTCAATGCGCGCGATTCTCATGGACTGGCTCGTCCAGGTTCACACCCGGTTTAACCTTCTTCCCGAGACTCTCTTCCTCACCTCCAACTATGTCGATCGCTTCCTCTCGGCCAAGGTTGTCTCCCTCGGGAAGCTTCAACTTGTCGGAGCCACAGCGCTGTTTGTCGCCGCCAAGTATGAGGAGATCAACTGCCCGTCTGTTCACGAGATTGTGTACATGGTCGACAATGGTTATACCGCGGAAGAGATTCTCAAGGCGGAGAGATTTATGCTTTCGATGTTGCATTATGAACTTGGTTGGCCCGGACCGATGAGCTTCTTGAGAAGAATCAGCAAGGCCGACGATTATGATCTTGAGACCAGAACGCTAGCAAAGTACTTCTTGGAGATCACTGTCATGGATGAGAGATTCGTTGGAAGCCCTCCAAGCTTTCTCGCTGCCGGAGCGCACTGTCTCGCCAGACATATGTTGAGGAAGGGAGAGTGGGTAGGTTTATTTCATTCGCTTCCAGCTTATCGTTTTATTGTATTTTTTCTGTTTCTCCTGTTCCTTTCTTTTTTATCTCAACGCTTCAGTTGGTTCACATACCCCTGTCTGCCATTGACCCGTTTTCTGCCCCCCCCAATGGCCAACACATACTTGCGCCAAAAGGTTTTTTCTTTCTCACTTTTACCACCAATCTCTTCCACTCGATTCCCTGTCTCCCCCCCTTTTTTTTTCTCGTTTACTTTCGAAACTGCTGTTACCCTCACATGGAATCACATGACCGACATCGGCTAATCACAATGCTCAAAACAGACACCTGCACACACCTTTTATTCGGGTTACACTGCTTCTCAGCTGGAGCCGTTGATCCACACCCTTGTCGAGTGCTGCGAGAAGCCGAAGACTCACCACGGTGCGGTATACGATAAGTTTGCTGATCGGCGGTACAAACGTGCTAGTTTGTATGTTCAGAACTGGATGAAGAATGAGGAGAGCAGTGATGATGAGTAAAAAGGTTCATCGCCAGGAGGTCGGGGACAATGGTATGTGGTGGTAATGGGGTTGGTTGTGTTAGTGGTGGGGGGTGAAAGAGGGGTAACTTAAAAAAAAAAACGGGGGAGGGGGCGCACGTCGGAGGGGGGTTACGGTATCGCATTAAAGGGATTGATTAAAGGATGGACTGTTGCCAGATGAGAGGGGTGACACCTGCCTTCCTATTCCTGTCTTGCCTTATCAACCTCTACACTTCATCTTGTTTTGCTTGCTCCTATCGATTCAAAAAAGCACTGGTTTTGTCCTATCCTATCCTATCCATTGGCCGCCTTCACGTTTTTTTTTTTTTAAGATGGCGGATCGATTAATTACTCGTCCGATGGGATGGAGGGATGGATGGATGGATGGATGGATCATGGATGGATGGATGCGGGTTGCTTTTTCTTATTTTTAGTGTTTTCTTTTTTCTACTTTTTTCTTTCAAACAAATTCTTAAACTTATTCTTACTCCTATTCATTTTTCTCATTTTTTTTCATTTTTTTCATTTTTTCTTCATTGTTCCTCTTTTCTTTCACCCTCCCCGCTCCCTGTCCCTTATGACTTGGAAGCCTTGATCACTTGTGCTAATGTGTATCTCCCCACTTGCCTGCCTACCTACGAAACCGGGGAAGACAACTACTCTTCTTTTTGGTTCTTTGTGTGGCGGCTATTGCAGTCTGATGTCATGTCCTCGTACTGACCAATTACATAACTACATAACTAACTTATGTCCCTCTCTTTATCTCTATCTCCTTGCTTGCCTTACCCCTCTCTCCTATACGCCCTTTCGGGCGGTACCGTACTCCATTTCTCGTGTTTTGCAATAGAGGTGTTTTGGGTTATCGATTCTTATTAACTAACTCACCAGGTCTATCATTACAATCTTATTTGTGTTTGTATATTTTTGTTTATCGTTTCCTTAGTTTTCATATGTGGGAGTTCTTTCATACATCTTTGTGGCTCACGCTGTGCGTTTTGGGCTGGTTGGTTGGTTGGTTATTTTATTCGGTTGGTGGGGCGTGGATGGGTTAGGGTGTGCATATACGATGTTCATGAATGGATGGAATGGACTGGACTTCACTTTAACGGTTCCGAGTCAATGTGTTTTAGGGGTTGGTAGTGCTCTTGGGTAGGACTTGAGGTTGCAGCGTGGCGCCGAATCTATCACTTGCGATGTGGAGATACGAGTGGATGGTGGTGCTGTGCATGCCCCGGGCAAGGGTGTGCGATACTAGAAGTCCTCAACACGAGGATCAAAAACTTGTATGGCACTCGTAGATTATCTGCGCATTTGAGCACCTATACTCGTACATACAAAATTTACCTAAATTTAGACAGCCACATATCGCGTATGATACGTTCCCAGCAACGTTTGCAATTCCATATCTGCCGCACTAGCACTCCAGCTGGTTTAGCTAGTCAGCCATCAATCAATCCACCCCGCCACCCACCTCACCACCATCCACAATCCTAACCTCTCCTTCCCGGGTAGAACTATCCGATCCACTGACAAGGTGCAGTAACCGGTACTCGTACATCTAGTACAGTAGACTAGCAATTCTATTCATTCCTTCGTTCAGGCAATGACACCACTTGTATCGGCATGACACTGCTCACTCCTGTCTACTGCACGCACCGCCCGCGCCTCATTCTCTACTATCACTGGCGGGGACAGAGTGGTAGACATATCCCGCTACGATACGATACGAGACGGCACGAATCGTGAAGCGGAGTATCGCAGTCACGGTTGATCACTCGAATTGCACGAGAGAGAGAGAGAGAGAGCAGATTTGATCCGCTCGCCAGCACACATGTTGCCCCGTTCAAAAAGCGTTACTGCGGTATCGTACTTTGCATGCTGTGCATATCTATATATCTATCTATCTGACTGTCTGTCCTGGGGTCCGTGGCGTACTCCTCTAGGAGGATATTTTTATTCGAGGTTTATTTGGGTGATTTGTACTTGCTTTATCTGCATGACGCTTGCATGTTTATTCATCCATCCATCCGTCCGTCCGTCCGTCCGTTCGTTCGGCGTTTTTAGCGTTATTCTTTTTGCGTGTTTGAGTTCTGGGGTGTCCGTCTTGATCTGACGATGGATGATCTGGGTTCGGCGCCCTCTGGATGGGTATTCCTAGGGGTGCTATGTTGGGTATGAGCTGACGGGTGGAGACTCTGGCGTTTGCAATGGGTAGTGTGTCGGTCGGGCGAGCTTGGATTTTGCTCTCCCCTCTTCCCTCAGACGGTTCTACTAACCGGAAGACGGTCCATCTCTAGTTCTTTTAATGACGAGTGACTTGTCGCTACACATGACCACTTGCCTGGGGTTGTTGATATCACTGGGATTGCGCTTTGAGATTGACCATTCGTGATGGTCATTACAAACGAGTGATATGATATGAAGCCGAGTTATTGAAAGCTCCCTCCTTCCCCGGGACCCAGAGAAGGCGTAGAGCACGCTGTCGAACCGGCTCCGGGAGGTCTACCCCTACGAAAAGGGAGGCGAGATGGGGATTTTAACAACTCGACGGGAATCTCGCTCCTGGTGGGATACCCCTTTGTCCTCGCGGATCCCCCCCCACCACGCCTAAGTCTGGGCGGAGGACGGTCCGGCCGTCACAGGAATATAATCTCCCTCTCACCTTTTTTTTCTTCTCCTTTGAGACCGTCGTTATTTGTGAGGGAATGTCGTGCTCACAGATCGAAGGAAGGAAGGAAGGACGGACTGGACGGGGGTATACATTTTCGCCCCCCCGTCCAGTTCTGGCTTCCTCCCGGGTGCGAAGCCGAGAGTGCGAGTGGGGGTTGGAGTTATGCTTGGTGTGCCCGATGTCGCCACCATCTCAGTCAAGCGTGGGAATGCATTTAATACTATTCTCGAGTTTTTCTCGGGAAAATATTGCGTAACCGCTGTTGCGTTTCTGTTCTGGCCCGGTGTGTTGCTGTTGATGTGCCGATTGCGCTTCGTTTATTTATTTATTTATCTATTTATTGCTGCAGAGAATGTCGTTGTTGGGTCTCCTCCGCTTGCGATGCTATCTATAGCCGTGTGGGGTGTGCGGTGTGTAATGGCGGGTCACGGCGATGGGCACCTCACCTCACCGGAGGATAATTTCTCCGAAATGGAATAATCATGACGGAAATTTCCCTCCTTACCGTGATGGATGGATATTCTGATACGATACCGTACCAAGACCGAGTGCTTCTCCATGACAAGAGACTTACCTGGAGTGGGGAAGGAGTAAGCGCGGGGGGTTGGGAAGGGGGGTGATGATTTATGCTGGCTCACTTGGCGCCTTATGGATGGATGGTCAATTCTGCGGTGGGGAGTGAATGAATGTTGGGGTGGATGAGTAATTGGTGGAGGGGTGAGTTTATGATGGGCGAATTTAATGCTTTTGGCGTAGAGATATGGTACATATGATGGAGAGTGTTTTTTTTTTGAACAAGAGGTGGTGGAAAAGGGAATGGAAGGAGTGAATTAACGAGTGTGTACTGTACTAGAGTAATGGTAATGACGAACTCCACACCCCTGATATCCCCGGGAATAATCAATGAAGGAATGAATAACGAGTAAAGCATGAACCTGGAAGCGCCGAAAACCCCTACGATGTTGAACGGATGGAAGAAGTAAAAAAAAAAAAAAAAAAAAAGCAAAGTTGGAGTGAAAAGAAGCGGGAGTGGGGAAATCTGAATGGTCGAAAGGGAAACTGTCCTATCGCCGTCACTGACCCAATCTCGAGCATTCCACAATCAACCACAGGAGACAGAGACCACCCCTCCGTTCAACCATCCCCTACGACCAACCAACCCGTCAGCGCAACGCCCCCCCCGAAACCACTCAAGCCAAGGTAAGAGGGTAGAAGAGGGAAACCCACAATGAATGAAAATATTCTCATCCAACCTCCCCGTCTCAATGCACGTCAATTTCCACGGCAAAAATGCCGTCGGGGGACCGACAAGCATGCATCCGACACCTACAAGAACCCACAGTACCTTCCCCCGAAGGTCGACCTGCGCCTTAAGCGTATCTATGAACGAAGCGTATACTCGCGCAGCAATGTAAAGTAGTAGTAATAAGTTGGTGAACGAGACTAGGAGGGCGAAAGTCTACGGTCGGTCGGTTGGTTAGCTGTGGAGGAGAGGGGGAAGCGGGGGGGGGATAGAGTACTTGACAAGAAGTCCATAGAGCATGCCATGCCAATTCAGTATCGTGCATAAGGTTGTAAGCACGGCTTCGTCGGTCCAGTGAGGCGGAGATGCAGAAGTAGCTCCATATTGCGCTGAGGAAGTTTATAAGAACGGTGATGAGGGCTACGTCCTCATCTGTCATCATTCCCCCCTTTTTTTCTTTCTTTTTTTCTTTCTTTTCTCTCTTCTCTGCTTTCTCCTGCACAGGACTTGAGAATTCAAGAAGGTAGAGGTGTGAGGGGGAGGCGGGTGCTTTTTGACGGTGCCGGTTATGGTAAGTAGACTATCATACAAATCGATTTATGTGGGGAGAGAAGGGGAAGGAGGGGGGGGTAGTTGAGTGTTTCAAGCCCTGCCCTGTCGATCTCGTCGAGCGGTGTAAGCCTGTGAAAAAAAAGGGAAGACCACCCCCTCAACTTGCACGTCACATCCCTTTGAGAAGTTCTGGAAGGCTAGGGTGTTTGTGGTGGAGTTTCCTCTATCTATCATACATCATTAGCGACTATAGTAATTTTCTATGGACTTAGTTTAGTAAGTGAGGTGTGCAGTGAGATCTTTGCTATCGGACTGTACTAGCACTGGTGCTGAGATACTAAAGCTAACTTGGAAAGGTTATCGTCTCTTTTTATTTTTGTTTCTAGTTTTATTTTATTTTTTTAGCGAGCGAGCGAGGTAATCATTAATTAATACGACTCCAAGTGCAAATGCTGTGGTACTGTACAGTAAACCACTCTACGGTGATGTGTGGTGATAGGTCCTGCGCTCGAGTCAGCTCGAATCAGGTCAA